TTGCATCTCAATGTAAAGAAAACAAAAATCCTCACCACTAGACGAATAAATAACATCTTTATCATTGGAGAAAAGTGTGAAGTTGTCAAAGACTTCATTAGCTCGAATCAACCATCAACACTTAAGGAAGCAGTACTCAAGAAACCAAATGATGTATTGCATTAGAAAAATCTGCTGGGCAAGACATTTTTAAAGTGTTGAAGAGCAAAGATTTGTTTGAGGACTAAGGTGCACCTGACCCAAGCTATGGTATTTTCATTAACCTCATATGCTTGTGAAACCTGGTCAGTAAATAAGGAAGACCATAGAAAAATTGATATATTTGAGTTTAGGTGTTGGAGGAGAATATTAAAAGTGCCATGAACTGCCAAAAGAACAAACAAATCTGTGTTGGAAGAATTACAGCCAGAGTGCTGCTTCGAAGGCAGGATGGCCAGACTTTGTCTGTCACACTTCAGCCATATTATCAGGAGGGACCAGTCCCTGGAGAAAGATACCATGCTTGGTAAAGTGGGGGTTTGGAGAAAAAGAGGAAGAACTCTAATGAGATAGATTGGCACAGTGGTGGCAACGATGGGCTCTGGCATAGCAAAGATTGTAAGGTTGGCTCAAGACTGGGCAGTGTTTCATTCTGTTTTGCATAGGGTCCCTATGAGTAAGTACTGAATTGATGGCACTTGACAACAACAACAGCAACAACAACAATGATGTTAATGAGGCAGGATTAGTGGTAGTGTGTTAATGAGGTAGGATAAATCTATAGGATTAGGTTGCATCTTAAGTCAATCTTTTTTGAGGAATAAAAGAGATTAAAGAAGAGCAGAGATCAGAGGGACCTCAGTAGCCTTAAGAAAGAACTTGGAGCATAGTTTTCCTTTGTACCCATGATCCCTGTGTTGTAAAACTCCTCAGCCCAGGGGAATATTGATGCCAAGACACATGGAGATTTCCAGTGGACACCATAGATGATGGAAGATGTTGATGTTGAAAGGTGAGACAAAGATCTCTTTGTCTTGACAGAGAGTGAAAGCATACCCATAGAAAGCTGGTGACCTGAATAATTATCTGTAGTTACCAATGTGTAGTTAGGATGTCTCATTTAGTAAAGTTGACTTAACTTGCATTTCAAATCTTGAACTTCAAAAAAAAGAAAAATAGCTTAAAAAAGAATATCTATTTCTCTTTTCAGGGAATCTTAATATATGTATTATATGTCTTATTAGAGCATCTATTTCAATTTTACAGTAAAATTTAAAAAGATAGTAGTGCTTAGAATTTATTAATTTAAGTATTTACTAATATTTAAATATAAAATCTGAAACTAGTGTTTTATACTAAATATGACTTGTACATATCATACTAAACAAACAACCCCACTACCTCTGCCAAAAGAACAATTAAACAAACAAAAACCTAGAAGTGTTACATGGTTGTGGTGATACAACCTTGCTTGCTGAAAGCAACGAGGACTTAAAATACTTACTTATGAAGATCTAAGATCACTGCTTTTGATATGTGTTGCACCTCAATGTAAAGAAAACAAAAATCCTTGCCACTGGACCAATAAAATAGCATCAAGATAAATGGAGAAAAGATTGTAGTTGTTGAAGACTTCATTTTGCTTGGATCAGTCATGGCAGTAGCAGTCAGGAAGTCAAACAACATATTTAATTAGGCAAATCTGCTGCACAAGTGCCCTTTAAAGTGGTCGAGAGCAAAGATGTCAGTTTGAAGACTAAGGTGCTCCTGACCCAAGCCAGGGAGTTCAGTAATCTCATATCCGTGTGAAAGTTCAACAGTAAATAAGGAAGACCCTAGAAGAACTGATGCATTTGAGTTATGGCTGTGGAAGAGAATGTTAAAAGTACCGTGGACTGCCAAAAGAACAGGCAAATCTTTGTTGATAGAAGTACAGCCAGAATGCTTCATGGAAGCCAGGATGGCCAGACTTTGTCTCTCATACTTCAGATATCTTATTAAGAGGAACCAGTCCCCGGAGAAGACATGATGCTTGGTAATGTGGAGAGTTGGAGTAAAAAAGGAAGACCCTGACGAGATGGATTGGTACAGTGACAGTAGCAGTGGTCTCAAGTGTAGCAACAACTGTGAGTATTTGGTTCTTTTGTGCATAGGGTCGATATGAATCAGTGTTTACTTGAGAGCACTTAAAAACAACACAACACGTATTTGCATACTAACACATTGCCGTAAGAAGTGCATTTGCTAAGTCAGGCACAAAAGAACAAATATCGTATGGTCCTACTTGTATGAGAAAGGACCCCGGATATTGTAGTGGATTACATGTTGGGCAGCGAACTGAAAACCTTGGATACCCTATATAGGGTCGCTATGAGTCAGAACTGACTCAAAGGGCCTCAGCTACCACTGTCACTCATAGAAGGTGCTTCAAAAGTAAAAGCTTGTGGAAAAATTCCATTATCTTTGTTGAAGATCCTTCTTAAGAACAGGTGAGTGCTAGGTGCTCTTCCTGGTGTGGCGCTATGGGCTAATGCGTCAGACTACAAAGTCGTTTTGAACTGCATGGTCAGTGGTTCAAGCTCACCTGTTGCTCCTAGCATCGCTATGCGTCGGAATCGACTCCATGGCACTTAACAACAACAACAACAACAACAACAACAACAAGATCCTTAAAGTCATAGTTCCAACGTGCTATACATATCCTTAAGTCACTGCCTATCTTTGATAAAAAATGATGATCAATTAGGGATCATTGATAAATTTAAATTCTGATTTATAAGTTAAAATACAAAGTTTTTTTCTATATGTGTAAATCAAGAAGTGGTACCAGATGTGTCTATACCTAATTACAGTTTTAGTCATGATCATACGAAACAGTTGAAGGTTTCTCGTGCTATTCTAGCAAGATCATAAATTGTTTAGACTATAAAATAGAAGATATTTTGTTTCTTCCTGCAAAGATCAGGTTGTAATAGTTTGAGGTCTTCTGTTGATTTACTTAAAGGGTGAAATAATGTCAGAACCTTTGCTACAACTTAATTTCCAAATGTGGTTTCTGGTGCCCTTTGGATGTTTTCATTATCGGTGCAGTGTAAACTCTTCCCTCTTGTTTCTTTTTCTTTTTTTGTTTTCTCTTAATGTGGTTTAGATTCAACAATCAACACACACTCATTTGGATATCTCACTTTTTCCATTGGGTTTAACTGATGAGAAAAATAATGGAACAATTGCACTTGTGGGTGATTCTGAGGATCCTCGAGCCAATGTATCCGACACAGAGCTTCAGCAAAAAATGGCAAGTCTGGAGATTAAACTGAAAGTTTCTGAAGAAGAAAAACAGAGAATTAAAAAGGTATGCTTATAATTTCCTAAAAAATAAATATTTGAATTGCATATACAGGAAATTTGATAAAGTTCCAAATGCTGATTAAAATCTCATAAGAGGGAAAAGATATTGCCTTCTCTTGGCACTACCTTTAAATCTATCATATTATTTTATCACATGGAAAAGTCTTTGATAAGCAGTTTTTAGTCTTACAGGTGTGTCTTCTTTTCTGTAATAACATTAGATTTATTTTTAGGTAAAATGTGCACACAGAAATAGATGTGACTTGTTAGAATCCTGGTGCAGTGCTGTAGGATAAGCACTGGACTATTAACCACATGATAGGTAGTTTAACCCTACCAGCCATTCCTTGGAAACCTATACAGGATCGCTAAGAATTAGAATGGACTCAATGACATTTAACAACAACAACATTTGATAAATAAATACTACTAGTTATTTCCATCTTCCTTACTTAAGCAGAAAAATATGCTATAAATAAATGCTGTAATTGGAGGAGAGGTGGTTTTCAGACTTCCCATGGGACCACCAAACCCACTACCATCCAGTTGATTCTGACTCACAGCAACCTATATAGCGTTCCCAGGAGGGTAACCTTTTATGGAAACAGGCAGCTTCATCTTTCTCCTGAGGAGTCGTTAGTGGATTTGAACCACTGAACTTGTGGTTAGCATGCCAATGCTTTTTCTACAGTGTCACCAGAGGTCTTTAAAAGGGACACTGATGTTTTTGTTGTTAGTGCCGTGAAATCAGTTACGACTCATAGCAACCTTCTCTGAGGTTTCCAATGAGCAACTGGTGAGTTTGTACTGCCGACCTTGCAGTCCAATGCTTATTCTTCAGTTCCACACCAGGACTTGAAAGACACACTAAAACAGCAAAATTAGAACATGATTTTTCCCCCTCTCTATTACATGCTATAATTAGCTGAACCCATTCAGAGCTATTAAAATAACACTTGAACTTTTACAGGATTTAATACAACCTTTTATTCAATTTTCTTAGATTTTATAACTGATGCTTACCTTGATTGTTGCTGTTGTTAAGTAATTTCAAGTTAATTCTGACTCATTGTGACCCTGTTTTGGATCTCCAAGGAGTTGCTGGTTGGTTTGAACTACCAACCTTGTGGATAGCATTCTATTGCTTATCCTACAAAGCCATACCAAGACTCCCTGATTAGATGTATTATAATAATAACTTCCCTATTTATGGATTTAAACTACTGAGGCATCATTTGGAGGCTTAAAGTATAGCTGTTGTAATGAATTATTAATACTTTCATCTCTATTCTTTATAAAATACCTTAGTAAATATATAGAAAATATGTTTAGACATTTCACCAACTGAAATTAATTTAAATACTCTTATTCATTTATTGGTATAATTTTAGTATTATCTCAACATTTTGATATTAGTCTGGAAATTAGAGAGAAGCATAAATTTTGCAATACTGTTGGAGTTTAAACCATAATTCCTATGATTTCTTTCTCTCTCTCTTTTTTTTTGCCAGATATTTTCTGGCATGTTTAATGAAAAAGCTAAATGCATTTTATGCCATTACTAAGTTTATGCTTGGATTTTTCTTGAAGGATGTTGAAGCATTGATGGACAAGCATAGTACCATAGAAAAAGGCTTTCTAAAAGAAAAAGAGCAAGAGGCCATTTCTTTTCAAGATAGATACAGAGAACTTCAGGTAAGCTAGTGAAATGAAAATTTTAAATGTAGACCTTTGATCAGGCATTTAATTTCAAAACGTTCGCTATCTTTGCTTTACTTTTCCAATAGCACTTGTTACTACCTGAGAGCTTATTTTGATATGCTTCTTATTTTTCTGCCTCACTGCTGTACCACCTGAATTAAGCTTCGTGAGTTTAGGGATTTTACGTTTCTTTGCCTAGAGCAGTACATGGTGTGTAGTAACTGTGCATTTTATATTCTTGAACGACTAACTGAATGGACAAATACACTAATTACATTGTGCACATCCACTCATGCTCACGAGTCAGGCTGCTAACCTCAAGATCAGCAGTTCAAAACTTCCAGTGGTTCCAGGGAAGAAATGCAAGGCTTTCTGCTCCTGTAAAGATTTACAGCCTCAGAAATCCTATGCAGGGTCACTATGAGTTGTAACAGACTCAAAGACACAGAACCACCACCACCTAAAGTACACAAGACTGAGTTTTGAGAGGAATTTGTGTTTTTTACTTCCATTGAGTATGATTCTAGGTCATTTAATGGTTTTTTTTTTGGGGGGGTGGGGGCGGGCGGGCAAATGCAGCTTTTTAATATGTTAATGTTAATGGGAATAATAGCACACCTGAGAGACCATGAAGGATCTGGCATATAGTACTTGAGGTATTTAAGAATAAAGATCACTATGAATGGCTAGCTACCTTATCGTTATTGTCCTACTGCTTTTACTATTAATAGGAGTAATATAAGAGTGATGGTACGCGTCTTCAGAAGGAGTTTTCAATTAGAAAAGCTTATCAGAAATTTCCAAAGGAAGCTTTTTTAGATGATTTTATTTCAGTACCAGTGAGTTTCTTTCTTTTTTATAGTAGGTAGATGAAATATTCCATAAACTAATCTGTGGAGTCTTTTCTCACTTTTGTTAAATAAGTGGTCTGAAAATGTGCTATGAGGTTTCATAGCTAAATTGAACTCAGGCAGACATGCTTTTTAGCTAATAAGTCTCTTGCCCAATTTCTAAGGAAACTTTCTTTTTGATATATGGTTCCAAACGTCTTTGATTCTCTGTTCTCTCTGTCTCTCTCTCCTTTTCTTTCCTTTTTAGTAAAAATTTTCTTTGTTTTGATTAATTTATATTTTCTGTTTTACAGTTAGTCAGTTCTCTTCTCTGTGCCCACTACTCTGCTTTCTTATCCATGCAATTTTGTATATAATTGGTTTTTTCTTTATATATTCTTCTTTGTTGAAACTGTTTTTTTTTTTCAGTTTATTTCTAGTATATTTATAGTTGTTTATTGAAGCATTTTTTATTGTGGTTGTTTCTTAAATTATGTAATGATTTTAATATTAGAGTCATCTCAGTGTTGTTGTCTATTGATGGTCTTTTCTCATTCAAATAGAGATTTTCCTATTTTTTGTTATGTGAGTGGTTTTTAATTGTATCCTTTAAAATACAATTTTTATTGTATTTTAAAGGATATTTGGGTATTTGATATGTTGTTGTTGCAAAATACTTTGGTATCAATTCTGACTCACAGTGATCCTGCAAAGGGTTTCCGAGGAGCTGTTGGTAGGTTTGAACCTTCGATCTTGAGGTTAGCAGCCCAATGCTTATCCTACAGCATCACACCTGGACTGTAGGGCTTCTTATATATAAGATTTAAATAAGATCTAAGATGCTAAGGTGGTGAGGTTGGCCCAGGATCGGACATTGTTTCATTCTGTTGTGCATGGGGTTGCTATGAGTCTGTTCCAACTCGATGGTACCTGACAACAACAACAAGATGCTATACCAAATAGGAGTCTTGGTGTGGCACTGTAGCATAAGCACTGGACTACTAACCACAAGGTTGGCAGTTCAGACCCACCAAATCCTCCTTGGAAACCCCATACAAAGTTGCTATGCGTTAGAATCGACTTGGCAGCACTTAACAACAACTTCTGACACTGGACCAGTTGGGGAAAGAAGGGTGCCACTTTGTTATTCTCAGGTGGTGGTGAAATTCCAAATTTCTTATTCAGTTCCCTTTGGTATCCTAGGGAATAGAGGGGCCTTGCTATTGCTGTGAGGAGGGGATGTTAGGCTCCCCATATGCCTGGTGTGGCACTATGTAGGATCAATATTGGACCAACAACCACAAAGTTTGTGGTTCAAACCCACCAGCTACTCCTTGGAAACCCTACACAGGGTCACTATGAGTAGGAACCAATTTAACACCACTCAGCAACCACAATAATGACATACACCTTCACTGCCATCATTCTAGCAGGGAGAAGAGGCTCCTTGTTACCATTCCCCGTGTACCTGCAATAATACCATTGTGGTAGTGGAAGTCTTGTTACCTCTAACTAAAAGTTAGCTTCTTGCTTCCTACTCACCTGCCTCTGACACAGGCAGAGGGAGAGTGATGGAACATCCTTACCTCTGGATGAAGTCAAGGTCCTGGCTTTCTGCTTTGTTTTCTCTGATACTAACTCAGTGGCAGTGGGAACATCTCTAACAGCTAGCTGGGTAAGGGTTGAAGTCTAGGCTTTGCACTTGGCCTTTGCTGAGGGGGAACAGGATGGGCCTCTTTTTGATGGTGTTTGTCTGGTATAGGTCATTTATTATTTAAAAATTTTTGTTTTTCGAATTTGCCTTGGTGTGAGAGGCTATGGTTTTCTTGGGTTTTTATGCTCGTTGGCATTTCCAGGTTTCTGGCCCTTCTAGTATCCGTTCAGGGCATATGAGAAAGAAGATTCATAGAGATCTGCTGTTTCATTCCTAGGGTCTTTATGCCTGAAGGTGATCTGCCTTTTCTCCAGAGTCTTTTTATGTTTAAGTATAATTTCCAGTACTTTTAGCTGGTGGTGTAGTGGATTGGGAACTGGGCTGCTAACTGCTAGGTCAGCATTTTGAATCTTCCAGTCTATCTGTGGGAGAAAGATAATATTTCTTGCTCTTGTACAGATTTACAGCCTCAGAAACCCAATACAGGTTTGCTGTAAGCCGCAACTGACTCAGCAGCACACATCCACCATCAACCAGTGAGGAAAGAAGGCAGGAAAGTGTTTCAGATTGGAAGTGGAATGAAAAGCTACATATTTCATTTTCAAAATTCTTTCTTTATCGACATCTGGAAATTGACTTCAAACCTAACACACATTAATTTAAAACATGTTATTTGTGTTGTTGTTTTTAAGGAAAAAACAAGCAGTCATCACAGACTTTCAGTGAATAGATATGGGTAACTCAAGTGGGAGATAATTCATAAGCTTTTAATTTAAGTTTTTACTTACTTATGAAAGTGTACACATACATATGTATGTGTATTAGCCATTCTCAAAATATATTTTCTATAAAAATATTTAAATTGTATTGTATAGATGTGATTCACTTTTTTACCTAATTTCTACTACCTATTCGTATATCGCTCTGGGTATGTAGCTTTTGTTCAAATGGTACTAAGTTAGTTCTATATTATAATTTCTTGGGACTATGAAATGTGATTAAATTTGTGTTAAAGGCGAACCACAGTATGCTAAATACATGTGGTGGTGGTGATGGTTATGTGCCATGGAGTCGTTTCCAACTCATAGTGACCCTGTACAGGGTTCCCGAGGCTGTAAATCTTTACGGGAGCAGAAAGCCTCATCTTTCTCCTGCAGAACAGCTGGTAGTTTCGAACTGCTGACCTTGTGGTTTGCAGTCCAATCTGTAACCACTACTCTACATACTGGTCAGTACTTAAACACTGATTGATTAAATTTCTTGCTTGGACATATGGTTTGCCAGTCATCCATTAAACATTTGAAAGTCAGTGTACCTATATTTTCTGTAGAATGTGGTAGTCTCTATATTTTTTATATTAATGTATCTACCATATAAACACTGTTGACGAGTCAATTTTGACTATAGGGACCCTACAGGACAAAGTAGAATTGCTCCGTACAGTTGAGATCTTCTCATCTTTCTGCCAAGGCATGGCTGATGGCTTCAAACTGCTGACCATTTGGTTAGCAGTTGAGGACTTTAACCATGATACAGCCAGGACTCCTGTATCTAGCAGATTTGTTTTCTAAATATTTGTGGAGCTTAAGTAGGAAAAATGTTCTTTTCTCTTCCTTAGGATTAGTAGATATTTGTGAGGAAGTTTCAAAAAGTTCCTGGCAAATGGAATGAAAGGAAAATGGAATTTTCCCATAATTAAAAAAAAAAAAATTCTTTCATAGTTGTGCTTGCCTCTCCTCTCTTGGCTATCCTAAATTAAACAAAATTTATAAGAATGTATAATAATACTAACAAGACTAAATCAAATGATCTGAGAAGCCTTTCTCCTTAAATGTTAATTTACTTATGTGTTAATAGAAATATATTGTGGGAAATATAGAAAAAAGAGAAGAAAGCAAAAATCATACCTATTCACCTTGCAAAATCCAAGTATTTTCACCGGGTTTTCAGAATATAGGGCTTTGAGATTTCACTTTTGTAAGGAAATCTGCCTTCACCTTAGGCCAATGTTGGGTGTGCCTTTGTCAAGGTTTTAGTCTGACCAAGGAAAGAGTAATTAATAAATGGAATGTTTGTAAAATCTTTAAACAAACTCTATTTCGCACCATGTTGAACTGCTACAGAGAATTGTAGCTGTGTTGTTTTATGTGATACGGTCTAATTACCAAGATAGGTGGAGTGGTGTGAAATAACGAATATTGTGAACTCTACAGTACAAATGAGGGTGTGCACTACCTCTCCTTTTCCTGTTGTGTCCAGGGTGTGTAGCCTAACTAGAGGAAGAAGAGTGAGTCATGCTGCATTTGCCAGAGATAACTATTTAAAGGACTTTTGTGACAGTTAAGGGGTCCTAGTGTGGTGCTGTAGGATAAGCACTGGACTGATAATCACAAGGATGGTTCCTCAGGAACCCTATGCAGTTCTTTCTGACTCCCATAATAGGTTGGTCACACCTGTGAACAGCAGATAGAAAGGAAACTTGGCAACTTATCAGATAATGCATGTTATAA